GACGGCCGCGCGGCCGGTGCGGCCGGCGACCCGTCTGGCGCGCCGATGCCGCTCGAGGACATGCAGCGGCTGCTCGACGCGGTCTCCGGCACCACGGGCGGCGTGGCGGCCCCCGCCGCCCCCGATGTCGCCCCTGCCGGCGCGGGGACGGTCCGGCCGGCGCCCACGACGCCGTTTCCGGGGATGGTCGTCGAGCCCGGGCGACCCTGACCGTACGACCGGGGTCGTGGGGGTGAACGTGCCGGAGGGAGCAACCGGCGGGATTGAGTTGATGCCAAGTCTACGCGTGTGTCAACCGGCACCCTGCGTCCGCGGGGCGCGGGCCCGGGCGGGATGGCGCGGGGCGGCAGTCTGGCTGCTGGTGCTGGGCGGCTGCGGTCCGACGCCGGCGGCGCCCACGTCCCCGTCGACGGTGCGGGCGGAGTACCCGGAGTTCGTCACGTATACCGGCGAGGTGGTCCAGCCGTATCCGAGCCGGTTCTACGGGCTCGACGGGACCGGCGGCCCCCGCGGTCTGGCGGGGGTGAGGGTGACGATTGTGGGGGGGCAGCCGCACGGGCGGACGGCGGTGACCGATGCGGCGGGGCGGTTCGAGTTTGCGGACTACCCGTTTTGTCCGCTCTACACGGCCGAATGCCAGTCGCGGCGGTTCCGGGCGGAGAAGGCGGGGTACGAGACGCGGGAGGTGGGGGCGTCCGACTTGTTCTACACGCAAGATGGCGGCCTCAACGGGCGGAGCAGCAGCGCGGAGTACAAGCGCATCTTCATGGGTCGTGCCTGGCCGCCGGATCCCCAACTGGCGCGGATGCGGCGGGAGCTGCCGGCGATGAAGGATATTTGGCTGGTGGATGTGGCTCGGGAGTGTACCATTGGGTCGTACGAGGCCGGCGTCATCGCGGTCATCAGCCTGGAGCCTGCGTATTGGCCGATGCTCGCCCACGAGTATTGCCATGCGCACCAGGACTGGGCGGTCGACTCGAACGCGTACAGCTCAATCACCTCCAACTGGCCACAGAGCGCGGAAGGCCGGGCGTTTCTCGCCGCCTGGGAGGCGGACCGGGCGACAGGCGCCCGCATCATCAACGATTGGGGACCCCTCGAAAACGGCGCGGAAATCTGCGCATATACAACTATACGTTAGAGCGTGAGAGGTATGGAACCCGGGGGCGAGGATACTTGCGGGATCGCCTCCCGCACCTGCATGCCTGGGCCGAGGAATGGCTGCGCTGGCCGTGACGCCGCGCGGCCGCGGCGCGCGGGCGTCCGGTGTGGCGGGCGCCTGTCTCGAGATTCCCGCTTGACACCCCGCCAGATGCTCCCGGAGGATTGCGCCCCGTTGGTTGTCGGTCGGATTCGTCGGTCGCCTTTCGCGTCTCGCTGATTCCCCTTCACTACGGCCAACGTTTTGTCGCCGCGGGCGGTCCGGATTGCACCCGGGCGCGCCGGTGCGGTGGTGTGCGGCCGGGCGCCGGCGCAGCCGGTGGCGGTCGGCGGACGTGTCCCCGATCGCAGTCTGGCGCGTCCGGCGGGGCGGCCGACCGTGGGTCGACATGGAGGATGGATGATGCGAACGACTATGTTGTCTCGCCAAGCGGACGATGTCGAGCGGATGGTCGGTCCTCGCGGCCACCTGGTCCCGCCGGTGCGGACCGGCGAGATGGACGCGGCCGCCCGGTCGGCTGTCGAGCCTCAGGTCCACCAGGGCGCGGGTCTGTGTTGCGGTGTGGCGGCTGAAATCGGCGCTGGGCGCGGCTGCCGTGGCCGTGGAGCGCGTTTCAAGGAGCCGCTGGGGTCAACGTCCCGGAAGTCGTCGGGCGGCGCTCAGAGGCGGATTCGCGGCTCTTCGACCGGCCGGCGGCGACCGCGGCGGTCAGCGTGGACGACGGGTTGCCGCGAGATAAGCCGCCCACTCGTCCATCAGCCGCCGCCGGCGCTCGAATAGGTCCGACCGCGCATAGGCCGCCTCGACCTTGCTGCGGACCACGTGCGCCAGCGCGGCCTCGATGACCTCGCGCGGGTGATCCGTCTCCTCGGCCGCCCAGTCACGGAACGACGAGCGGAAGCCGTGCGGCACGGCCGCGACGGCCAGGTCCTTGAGCAGCTGCGACAGGAACGTGTCCCGGACGGGGTTGCCCAACCGGTTCGGGAACACGAGCGGATTCCCGTCCGCGAGCGAGCGCGCCGCGTCGAGGACCTCCACCGCCCGCACGCTGAGTGGGACCCTGTGCTCGCGGCGCATCTTCATGCGCTCGGCCGGGATGGTCCACACGCGGCGCGCGAGGTCGATCTCTTCCCACCTCGCCAGCCGCACCTCCCCCGACCGCGCGGCGGTAACCACCAGGAACTCGAACGCGAGCTTGACCGCACGCGTGGATCTCGACCCCCGGACCTTCTCGAGCGCCGCCGCGACTTCACGATGAGGCAACGCCCGCATGTGGCGCACGATGTCGCGCTGCGGGCCGAGCACCGACCCGATGCGGTCGCACGGGTTGTCGGTCCGGTGCTCCATGGCGACGGCCCACTCCAGCACGGCGCCGATGCGCTGGCGCAGGCAGCGAGCGGTGTTCGACTTCACGTGCCAGATCGGCGTGAGGACCGCCAGCACGTCGGCGCTGCTGACCTCGGAGACCGGGCGGCTGCCGATCGTGGGCAGGACGTAGCGCTCCAGGCTGTGGAGCCAGTTGGTCGCCTGTCTGGGGCTGCGCCAGCCGGCCCGCTTCTGCTCGACCACGGTGGCGGCGGCCTCGGCGAAGGTGGGCACGGCCTGGGTGCGGCGCTTGTCGGCAAGGGGGTCGCCGCCGGCGCGGGCGAGCTTGCGGTTGGCGAGGGCCTGCTCGCGGGCCTCGGCGAGCGAGACCAGATGGACGCTGCCGAGTCCGAGTTCGTGTTTGCGGCCGCGGATGACGAGGCGTTGGATCCAGCTTCGGGTGCCGGTACGCTGGACGTAGAGGTAGAGTCCGTTGCCGTCTCCGTGCCGGCCGACGGGCGCGGAGCGGACGAAGGCGGCGGAGAGCCGGTTGTGGGGGTGTCGGCCCCTGGGCTTGGTTCGCCGGGGTGTCGGGGCACTGAGCGTCACACTATCCATCCCCCAATCATAGCCGACATGCGGGCGGATATCATGCGACGCTCTGAGCCGCTCGATCTGCCGAGACGAGTAGTAATAGCCTGTTATATCAGACACTTAGAGACACATATGCACATGGATGGATGCGGATGGATCGCGTAGTAGTGCTGCTCTGCCGGCGGCACCACCGTGCGGTCCACGAGGAGGGCTTCACGGTCCGGCTGGACCCGGCTGGCGATGCCGAGTTCTGCTGGCCCGACGGCCGGCCGTTTCCCGCGGTGCCGCCCCCACCCCGTTGGAGCGGCCCACCGCTGGCGCCGACCGACGCCCGCCTGGCCGCGTCCGCCATCGTGATCGACGCGACACCGCACGCCGACTGGCACGGCGAACCCCTCGATGTCGGCTTTGCGATTACGTCATGTGGATGCCCGCGGACGGTCCCGGCGCCTCCGTCGGCGCGCCGTTGTTACGACCACGTCTCGGTGCGACACGCGGTTTCGCCCCGCGCTGCTAGACTACGGACCGCCGTTCGACTTGCCCGCAACATGCCGCGCCCAGCGACGTACGCTCACTAGTCGCGAGACGGATGACGCGGTGACCCCGACGACCGGGCGGACGGACGGGAACACACGCCAATGCCGACGAAGCGCGCACTCCTCGCAGAACTGACGAGCCATGAGCTCCGCGCCAACGTCGACTACTACGAGCTGCAGGTCGCCGACCGCCGCGTGAAGGCCCATCTCGTAGATGCGCTTGCCGGCTCACTGAAAGTCGGTCTCGATGAGGTATTGCAGGACCTATCCCGAGATCGCCTGAAGGAGCTGTGCCGAGCGTTCGACCTCGATGATTCGGGCCGGAGGAAGGCGGATCTCGTCGCGCGCCTCGTCGGGCCGACAACCGCCGCGAAGGGCGCCGGCGGGGTCGCGACCCCGCCGGCGGTATCCCCTCCAGTGGCGCACGTGACCGACCCGCCGGTGGAAACACTGAGCGTCGCCCAGCTCGAGCAGTACCTTTGGTCCGCGGCCGACATCCTGCGCGGGTCGATCGACAGCAGTGACTACAAGACCTACATCTTCGGTTTGCTCTTCCTGAAGCGGCTGTCGGACCGGTTCGAGGAGGAGGCGGAAAGGCTCGTCGCCGACGGGATGTCCAAGGAGGTCGCGTGGAACGACCCGGACGAACACCAGTTCTATGTGCCCGGCCGGGCGCGGTGGGATGCATCCAGAAGACGGCCACGAACATCGGAGAGGCGCTGAACAAGGCGTGCGCGGCGCTTGAGGAACAGAACCCCGGACTCGAAGGAGTCCTCGCCGGCATCGACTACAACGACGAACGGAAGCTCGGCGACGCCAGGAACCGCGACACCGTGCTTGCGCGCCTGGTCCAGCACTTCTCCCAGGTCTCGCTCCGCAACGACCGCATGGCCGAGCCTGACCTGCTCGGCCGCGCCTACGAGTACCTGATCGAGCAGTTCGCCGACGATGCCGGCAAGAAGGGCGGCGAGTTCTACACGCCGCGGATGGTCGTCAAGCTGATCGTCGAGCTGCTGGCGCCTACCGAGCGGATGCGCATCTGCGACCCGACCGCCGGCTCCGGCGGCATGCTGATCGAGTGCGCCCACTACATCGAGCGGAAGAAGGGCAATCCGCGCAACCTGACGCTGCACGGCCAGGAGAAGAACCTCGGCACGTGGGCCATCTGCAAGATGAACATGCTGCTCCACGGGCTGCCCGACGCCCGCATCGAGAAGGGCGACACCATTCGCGACCCGAAGCTGGTCGACGAGGGCGAGCTGCTGCTCTACGACCGGGTGATCGCCAACCCGCCGTTCAGCCTCGACGAGTGGGGCCGCGACGTCGCCGAGAGCGACGGCTTCGGACGCTTCCGGTTCGGCATCCCGCCCAGGACCAAGGGGGATCTGGCGTTCGTCCAGCACATGGTGGCGGTGCTGAACGCGACCGGCCGGCTCGGCGTCGTAATGCCGCACGGCGTGCTATTCCGCGGCGGCGCCGAGGGCAAGATCCGCCAGGGCCTGCTGCAGGAGGACCTCTTCGAGGCGGTCATCGGCCTTGCGCCGAACCTGTTCTACGGCACCGGCATCCCGGCGTCCATCCTGGTGCTGAACCGGGCCAAGCAGGCGGCCCGCAAGGGAAGGGTGCTGTTCATCGACGCGTCCGGGGAGTTCGAGGAGGGCAGCAACCAGAACCGCCTGCGCGACCAGGACATCGACCACATCGCCCGGACGTTCCACGCGTTCGCCGACGTCGAGAAGTACGCGCGGGTCGTGCCGCTCGCCGAGATCGAGCAGAACGACTGGAACCTGAACATCAGCCGCTATGTGGATACCTCCGAAGAGGAGGAGCGCATCGACGTCGCGGAGGCGGTGCGGAAGCTCCGGAACTGGAGGGCGAACGGGCTGAGGCCGAGGCGACGATGAACCGGTATCTGGCGGAGTTGGGGTATGGAGACTGACAGCGGTTCCGACCTGGCGCTGAACGTCCGGTATCCCAGGACGCCGTACTGGCCGTGGTCGCCAGCCATCGGCCGCGGCGATGCCGTTCACGCGAATCCGGACCGATTCGCCGGCGAAGACGTGGTGGTGACGGAGAAGCTCGACGGCGGCAACACGCTGCTGCACGCCGGCAAGGTGTACGCGCGCAGCGTGTCCGCCCCGTCCGGCGGCAAGTGGATGGCGATGGTGAAGAAGCACCACGCCTGGAAGGTGAACGAGCCGGATGTTTACCTCTATGGCGAGGACATCTACGGGGTGCACAGCGTCACCTACGCGCCCGTCGCCGAACGCGAGACGTTCTACGCGTTCGCCCTCCGGGACGGAGCAGGCGCGTTCGCGGCCTTTGACGAAGTCGAGGCGTACGCGAAGCAACGGGAGATCCCGGTCGTGCCGGTCCTGTTCAGGGGCCGCTTCCGGTCGGTCGCCGAGATCAGCGCGTTCATGAAGCAGGCCCACGGCGAACCGTCCGCGCTCGGCAGTGAGCGCGAGGGCGTCGTGATGCGCCTGGCACGCGGGTTTCCGGCGGCGGAGTTTCAGGACAACGTGTGCAAGAGCGTCCGCGCCGGCCACGTGCAGACCGACGAACACTGGACCCGGAACTGGAAGCCGTGCCGGATCGCGCGGCATGCGGGATGAGGTTGTCGGCCGGTCGCGTGAATCAAGGTCGCGGACGCCGTGCGGACACTCCGAGAGTTGGAGGAGCCGTGCGCGACGGCCGAGGCCACGATGAACCGGTATTTGGCGGAGTTGGGATATGACGCCTGACGGGTGGAGGTGCGCCAGGATCGGCGACCTCTGTAGTGTAGAAACGGGTGGCACGCCGAGTCGGAGACGCGGTGACTTCTGGGGTGGAAATATCCCGTGGATGTCATCAGGTGAGATACACCAACGCCGTGTAGTCCGTACCAGAGAGGCAATTACTGATGCCGGGTTCGCGGCCTCTAACGCTCGATGGATACCCGCCGGCGCAGTATTGGTAGCACTCAATGGACAGGGCAAGACGAGAGGTACCGCTGCAATTCTCGCACGGCACGTGACATGCAATCAATCACTGGCGGCAGTAGTACCACGGCGCGATATGCTAGCAGCCGACTATCTTTTTCAATACTTGTCTGCGAAATATACTGCGATTCGACGCTTGACCGGTGACGAAGGACGCAACGGCCTTAACTTGGGCCATATACGATCGATAGAAGTTGCATATCCACCTCTCCCCGAGCAGCGCAAGATCGCCGCCATCTCTCCTCGGTGGACGACGCCATCGAGAAGACGCAGGCGGTCATCGACCAGGTGCAGGTCGTCAAGCGCGGCCTGATGCAGGAGCTGCTCACGCGGGGCCTGCCGGGGCGGCACACGCGGTTCAAGCAGACGGAGATTGGGGAGATGCCGGAGGAGTGGAAGGTAGTCGAGTTGGCTTCTGTCGCCTCCGTTGAAAGAGGAAAGTTCGCTCACCGGCCGAGAAACGATCCTCGCTTCTACGGTGGAGAGTTCCCATTCATTCAGACGGGAGATGTGGCGGCCTGCGACGGACTCATAGATACGTATAGCCAAACCCTCAACGAGGATGGCCTTGCGATCAGCAGGCTGTTCCCGAGCGGCACCATCGTCATGACCATCGCGGCAAACATTGGATCAACCGGCATTACAACTTTTGACGTTGCGTTTCCCGACAGTCTTGTCGGCATCCAGACCGGTCCACGAATCGAAACATGCGTTTCCTCGAACTCGTTCTTCGAACCCGCAGCGCGAATTAGACAAAGTCGCACCTGAGAGCGCGCAAAAGAACATCAACCTGAACACGTTGAAGCCGCTCAAGATCCCGTTGCCCAGAATGTCGGAGCAAACGAAGATATCGGCGCGTGTGTGGTCCGCCATAACCAGCCTGAAGAACGCATGCGGTCATCTTGAAGGCCTCACACTTGTCAAGTCCGCCCTCATGTCCGTCCTTCTCACCGGCGAGCTCCGCGTTACCCCGGACTCCTGAAGCCGCGAGTCTCCCGTGAACACTGGATGGTGCCAGCCGCACCTCCATGCGCCCCTTCGGCCATACGGGTGGAGATCGGGGAGGCGCCCCAAGGGTCGCCTCGGCGCCACGCTTCGGCAGAAGAGCCCGCGGTCGCAGGGTGCTCCGGTGGCCTCGATGGGGGATGTCGATCCGAGCCGGGGTTGACCGCACGTCGAATTTACACGTGTACCAACGGCCTACATATGCCCCCCCGTGTCCGAAACTGCGCAAAAACCCCACCCAACCACACCAACCAAACCCCCCCCCCACCCACCCAACCCCCACCCCAACCCACCCGCCCCTCTTGAAAACGCATTCAGACACGAACAACCGCATGCCGTCAGAGCCCATGAGGCCAGCGAGTATCTCAGGACGCCGGAGGATGTCGCGGCGTACCTCAACGCCGCAATCGAGAGTCCAATGGCGATCCGCGGCTGTTGATGACGGCGTTTCGAAACGTCGCGGCGGCCAGCGCGGCGTTCCGGCCATCGCCCGGGAAGCCGACATCGAGCGCGTGACTCTCTCACGGCGGTCAAGAGGACGGCTGCATCGATCGAGGGTCGTGGTATTCTGACCAGCCAGAATGACCGGATTTTCCTGGAGTGAATCATGCGTGAGGTACCGACAACCGAGGCCAAGTCGCGCTTCGCGGAGTTGCTGCGCATCGTCGAGTACGGCGAGACGGTAGCGATCACCCGCCACGGCAAGGCGGTGGCGCATCTGACTCCGGCGCTCGACCAGGAACGCGCCGCACGGAAAGAAGCGGTCCAGCGTTTTCGCGCTCACCGCCGCCGGTGGAGACGCGTCGAGGCGACGACGGAGGAGATCCTCGCCTGGATTCGGGAAGGTCGCCGGTGAGCCGCTTCGTGCTCGACGCGTCGGTCGCCGGGGCGTGGCTCCTCGATGAAGACGAGCCGCGTGCGAACGCAATCCTGCCCGGCCTCGAGATCGACGGGGCGCTCGTTCCGCTGCTCTGGCACCTCGAAGTACGGAGCACGCTGCTGGGCGCAGAACGCCGGGGGCGGATACGGGCGGACGAAAGCGACGAACGCTTGCGGTCGCTCGGGACACTTGACGTACGGACAGACGCGCAACCGGATCTGGAGTCCGCTTTCGCGCTGGCCCGCACACACCGACTGTCCATTTACGATGCGGTCTACCTGGAGCTGGCCCAACGGTCGGATGCGCCTCTGGCGACGCTGGACGGGCGCTGTCGCGGGCTGCCGGCGCGGCCGGGCTCGCGCTGATCGAGGCGTGACGCGCTCGCGCAGTCCCATGAACCCCAAGCCTGCCGGCTGGGACGAGTTGCACCTCGCGGAGAACCCCGCCGTCGAGCTGATGGTGTCGCTCCGAGGAGCAGTGGTGCGAACAGCGCACCGTCGCGGGCGGGCGCCAGGCGTTCGACGACGGCTGGAAGCGGGAGCTGGTACCGAGGGAGGGTATGATCGCAACGGCGGGCTCGACGGCGGTGCGATTGTCCAGACCTGCGGAGTTCGCAGCGGGAGAGGGAGCATGGCCAGGACCGTGACCTTGCGGTTGGAGAAGGACGCGTACGAAGAGTTGCGGGAGGCGGCGGCAGCGGAACGGCGCCCGCTGTCGAACTTCATTGCGACCGCCGCACTGGAACGGGTCCGGGAGGCGCAGTTCGTCGACGACGGGGAAATGGCCGAGATTCTGAACGACGATGCGCTGGTCGGGAGATTGCGGGCCGGCTCGCGCAGGCTCACCGGCGCAAGGGCGACTTCGTTGCATGACTACCGGATCTTCGAGACCGAGCAGTTCCGCAGGACCTGCGGTCGATGCACCCGGGCCGGTCACGAACGGATCGCCGACAAGCTGCGGAGGTCGGTCTATCCGCGGCTGCGCGAGCATCCTCACTTCGGACCACATCTTCGCAAGCTGAAGGGCTATGCGCCGCAGACGTGGCGATACCGGATCGGATCGTGGCGGTTCTTCTGCGAGTCGATGACGGGGAACGCGTCGTCTCGATGATCGCCGCGTCTCACCGCGGCTCGGCCTACTGATGTCCATCCTCCTCACCCCTGACCCCCAGCCCGCATGACACCGCAGCCGGCCGGGTGGGACGAGCTGCACCTCGCGGAGAACCCCTCTGTCGAGTTGCTGGAATCTCTCGGCTACACCTACGTCCCGCCCGAAGACCTCGAACGCGAACGCGCGAGCTTCAAGGAAACCATTCTCACCGGACGCCTCGCCGCGGCCGTGAAGCGGCTTAACCGCTGGCTCTCCAGGACGAACGTCACGAAGGCCGTCAAGGCGGTGACGCACGTTCCGGCGGCCAGTCTTGCCGAGGCGAACGAGACGGTCTACACGTCGCTCACCTACGGCATCGCGCTGGAGCAGGACCGCGGCGGCGGCCGGAAGAGCCACACGGTCAGGTTCTTCGACTTCGAGAACCCCGCACGGAACGAGTGGGTCGTCACCCGGGCAGTACAAGGTCCTCGGGTCGAAGAAGCATGTCATTCCTGACGTCGTCGTGTTCGTGAACGGCCTGCCGCTGGCGGTCATCGAGTGCAAGAGTCCGACCATCGGCGACGCCTGGAAGGCGGAAGCGGTCAAGCAGCTCCACCGCTACCAGGAGGCGGGCTCGCAATGGAAGGACCAGGGGGCGCCGCGGCTGTTCGAGGCGGCGCAGATTCTCGTCGGGTCCTGCGGCGAGCAAGCGGTCTATGGGACTGTCGGCACGCCGGCGCGGTTCTTCCTGGAATGGAAGGAGCCGTATCCCCTCAGCGTGAAGCAGCTCGGCGAGCGGCTCGGCAAGACGCTCGGGCGCGCGCCGGCGCCGCAGGACATTCTGCTGTACGGGCTGCTGGAGCCGCGCAACCTGCTCGACATCGTGCGGAACTTCGTCGTGTTCGAGGTCGACGGCGGGAAGACGGTCCGCAAGCTGACGCGCTACCGGCAGTTCATTGCCGTGAATGAGGCGATGCGGCGCATCCGGACGGCGCGGAAGCCGAGCGAGCGGGGCGGCATCGTCTGGCACACGCAGGGGTCGGGCAAGAGCCTGACGATGCTGTGGCTGGCACTCAGGCTGCGCCGCGACGAGGCGCAGCAGCAGCCGACGGTGGTCATCGTCACCGACCGCACGAAGCTCGACCGGCAGATCGCCAGGGTGTTCACGGCGTGCGGGTTCCCAAACCCCGAGCGGGCGGAGAGCGTGCGCGACCTGCGGCGGATCCTGGAGCATCCGACCGGCAAGACGGTGATGACCACGATCCAGAAGTTCCAGGAGATCACCGGCGCCGGGGGCGCCGCGCGGCGCGGGGCAGTGCATCCGACGTTGTCGGAGGCCGCCAACATCTTCGTGATGGTGGACGAAGCCCACCGCACGCAGTACCGCAGCCTGGCGGCGAACATGCGCCAGGCGCTGCCGAACGCCTGCTTCCTCGGCTTCACCGGCACGCCGATCGACAAGAAGGACCGCAGCACGCTGCGGACGTTCGGCCCCTACATCGACACCTACACCATCGAGCAGGCGGTCCAGGACGAGGCGACGGTGCCGATCTTCTACGAGAGCCGGCTGCCGAAGCTGCAGATCATCGGCCAGACCATAGACAAGGTCTTCGACCACGTCTTCGCCGACCGATCCGATGACGAGCGGGCCGCCATCAAGCAGCGCTTCGCCACCGAGCAGGCGATTGCCGGCGCGCCGCGCCGCATCGAGGCGGTCTGCCTGGATCTCATCGAGCACTTCAGCAAGTTCATCGAGCCGAGCGGCTTCAAGGCCCAGGTGGTCGCCGCGAGCCGCCACGCCGCGGTCAGCTACAAGGAGACGCTGGACCGGCTGAACGGCCCGGAATCGGCCCTGATCATGTCGGCGGGCCACAACGACGAGGCGCGGCTGGCGCGCTGGCACCTGCGCAAGGACCAGCAGGACCAGGTGATCGAACGGTTCAAGGATGCGCAAGATCCGTTGCGCATCCTGGTGGTCTGCGACATGCTGCTCACCGGCTTCGACGCGCCGGTCGAGCAGGTGATGTATCTCGACGCGCCGCTCAAGGAGCACACGCTGCTGCAGGCCATCGCCCGCGTGAACCGCCCTCACGGCGACGAGAAGAAATACGGTCTGGTTGTCGACTACTGGGGCGTGTCCGCGAAGCTGCAGGAGGCGCTGGCGATCTTCTCGACCGCAGACGTTCAGGGGGCGCTCACGCCGAGCGTGGACGAGCTGCCGCGGCTCGAAAGACGGCACGCGGCGGCGAGGAAATTCTTCCAGCGGGTCACCGACACGAACGACCTGGATGCCTGCGTGCGGGTGCTGGAGCCGGAGGACGTCCGGTCCAAGTTCGACCTCGCGTTCCGCCGCTTCAGCCAGTCGATGGACATGCTGCTCCCGGACCAGCGGGCGCTGGCGTATCACGCCGACCTGCGCTGGCTGGGCAAGATCCGCGGAACGGCGCGCGCCCGCTACCGGGACGATCGACTCGACTTGTCGGGCTGCGGTGAGAAGGTGCGCCGGCTGATTGCCGACGCCGTCGTCGCGGACGGCATCCAGATCCTGGTCCAGAAAGTGCAACTCTTCTCGCCCGAGTTCGAACAGAAGGTCGCGGCGCTCGAAACCGACGACGCGAAGGCGAGCGAGATGGAGCACGCCATCCGCCACGAGATCAACGTCCGGGTCGAGGAGAACCCGGTCTTCTATCAGTCGCTGCGGGAGCGGCTGGAGGAGATCATCGAACAGCGGCGCCTGGAACGGCTGGACGCAGCCCAGCAGCTCTCTCTGTTGAACAGCCTGCGCGCAGAGCTGCAGGGCGAACAGGCCCAAGCGCAGGAACTGGGCCTGGACGCGCGCGGCTTCGCCATCTATGGCTTGCTGGAACGTCGGCGGCCGATGACCGCGCACGAGGATTCTCCCGCTTACGGCGAGGCCAACCGCGACCTGGCGTCGCTCATTGACGACGCGGTCGCGCCGTTCACGGAGCTCGTCGACTGGTGGCAGAAGGACGACGTGCAGCGGCAGATGCGGAGCAAGATCAAGCGGCAGCTTCGCGCCAGCGGCATCGCCGGCGACGCGGTAGAGAATCTCGCCGCAGACATCGTGGACCTGGCCAAGGTGCGTAGCGGCTCATGACCAACCGGGAAACGTCCGCCGTCACCTGGGGCGGCAGGCAACTGCCGTACACCATCCGCCGCAGCGCCCGGCGGAAGAAGACGGTTGCGGTGACGGTGGACCCCGCCGGCAGCGTCCTGGTCGTTGCTCCGGAACGTCTCGCCACCGACCGGCTCGACGCGATCGTGCGCCGGGAAGGCGGAGTGGATTGAACGGCGCCTCAGGAATGCCGAGACACACGGCCCGCCGTTGTCGCCGCGCGAGTTCGTCAGCGGCGAGAGCGTGCTGTACCTCGGCCGGCACTACCGCTTGAAGGTGCATCCCGGCGAGACCGGCGCCGCAAAGCTGCGCGGCGGTTGGCTGCACGTGCCCGCGCCAACGGGTCCGCAGCAAGGCGCCCACGTGCGGGCCGCCCTGGTCACGTGGTTCCGGCGTCACGCGGCGGCCGGCCTGCCAGAGCGCGTGGCGGCCTGGCAGCCGAAGGCCGGTGTCCCGCTGCCCCGTGTCATCGTCGCAAACCAGCAGAAGCGCTGGGGCAGTTGCGACCACAGCGGCGCCATCCGCCTGAACTGGCGCATCATCCAGGCCCCGATGCGCCTGGTCGACTATGTCGTCGTCCACGAGCTGGTGCACCTGCGGCACCGCGGGCACGGCCGCGATTACTGGCAGGCAGTCGGACGGGTCATGCCGGACTACGAGCGGCGGCGAGAGGATCTGCGGCGGTGCGGGGTCGGACTGGCGTGGTAGGAGCGGCGCCTGCGTGTCGCAGACTTCGGGACGGATCGGCATCAGCCAGCGGCGCGTCACAAGAGCGCCTCAGCACGCGCAGGCCGCGCGCCAGCGTACGGGTGTCGGTGACCCCGAGCGCGTCCACACAGCGGCGCCGCTGTGCGGGTTCGGCGAGCACAATCGCCACCCGCCGACGCCGCCGGTCAGCGCTGCGTTGCCGGCTTCCACTCGCGCGCCAGTCGCTGCGCCTCACCAACCTGCTCGGCGGTCATCTCCGACTCGAGCTCGTCGCGCTGGCGGGCATAGAGTTCGCGGCGAAATCGCTGTCCGCGCCGGTCCGGGCCAACTCGAGCCACATGTAGGCGCGCACCGGGTCGCGCTCGACGCCCGCGCCATAGGCGTACATGTAGCCGAGACCGCCCTGGCCGGGTGCGTAGCCCTGTTCGGCCGCCGCCCGATACCAGCGCGCCGCCTCGGCGTCGTCTCCGAGCACGCCGCGGCTTCTGAAGTAGAGCAGGCCAAGGTTGTATTGCGCCGGGGCGTAACCCTGCTCGGCCGCGAGCCAGGTCCAGCGCACCGCCGCCGCGTCGTCCTGCGGCACGCCGCGGCCGGCGTAGTAGCGGCTGCCGAGCTCGGTCTGCGCCTGCGGGTCCCCGCGGTCGGCCCGTTCCTGCAACCCGCGCGGCACCTGCTCCGCCCCGAGCGACACGGCCAGCACCACGAGCGCCACGAGCAGCGCCGCCATGAGTCCCAGAGACGATACCGCGCGCGCACGGTCGGTGATCATGTGGACGCCCTGCCTGGCATACGGGGTAGAGATCGTGGCTGACTGACATCCTACCGCCCGGTCTCCGTCTTGCGCCAGCGAGCATGGTGATGTCCCGTGGCAAGAGCCGCGCTGCATTCGCTCCCCGCTGAATTCTGCGGTTTCACGCTGCATCAGGCGATCTGGCGGAGCTGAACGGCTGATCGCGTGGCTGCCGCCCCAAACTGACGTAAGCTGTCGTGAGCGTCCATACACGAGGGGTGCGGTTGATCATGCGATTGAATTCGACGGTGCGTTCCCTGCGCGCGGGCCGCTCGGTGCTCGCAAGCGGCGCGGTGCTGGCGGTGCTGGCGGTCGCTCTGTGCGCGCCGGCCGCGGTCCAGGCGCAGACGGTGCCGCGCTACGAGGTGGACCCGCTGTGGCCCGCGTTGCCGCTGGGCGACCGCTGGCTCACCGGCGGTCTCGGCGGCATGTGCATCGACGGCCGCGATCACGTATACATCCTGAATCGACAGAACGTGGTCGCCGACGACCTGGACGGCGCCCGGCCGGCCCCGCCGGTCATCGAACTCGACCCTGACGGCAAGGTGGTGCGCGCCTGGGGCGATACCGAGCGCCTGGGAGACCGACTGCACGATTGCCACGTCGACGAGGACCAGCACGTGTGGATCGTCGCGGCGGGGACCGGCTACATCCAGAAATACTCGAATGACGGCAGCGAGCTGCTGCTGCAGGTCGGTGAATCGGGTGTGTTCGATTCGTCCGACGGCACGCGCACCGGCCGGCCCCTGAACTCGGACCGGGCGCGGTTCTTTCTGCCCGCCAGCATCGACGTCGACACGCAGACGGGCGACATCTACGTGGCCGACGGCGAGACCTCCAGGGGCAACCAGCGCATCGCGGTGCTGGACCGCGACGGGCGGTTTCTGCGCCAATGGGCGCTTCAGCGGACCGACGCGGAACGAGACCTCACTCAACTGCCCCACTGTCTGCGGCTGTCCAACGACGGCCTGGTGTATGTCTGCGACCGTCGGGCCGACCGCATCCAGGTGTTCGACCGGATGGGTGCCTTCATCCGCAACATCGACGTGCCGTTCGAACCGCTGACGCCTCCCGACGGGCGGCCCAGCGGTACTCGGGGCAACGCCGTCGTGCTGGCCTTCTCCCACGACCCCGAACAACGGCTGATGTTCGTAGTGAATCAGAACAGCGTGATGGTCGATGTCCTGGACCGGCAGACCGGTCAGGTGCTGTCGAGCTTCGGCGGCGGTCCGGGCCCGTATCGCGGCCAGTTCACACTGCCCCACGGGATCGGCGTCGACTCGGCGGGCAACGTCTACGTGGCCGAGCAGGAAGGCCGGCGCATTCAGAAGTTCAGGCGCGTCGCCCGGTAGGCGAATAGGACGGCCGACCCGCCAGCGGGCCGGAACAATGAAATAATTCACTCGACCACGCGGTCACACCGGCCACGGGCCGGTTGCGGCTCGGAGCACCGGTGTGGGACAAGCATACGGAGCGGCGGTGCAGGCAGGGGATGCTGGAGGATGAACGTGATGTGTGCGAGACGTGGCAGACGTGCGGCGCTGGCCTGCGTGCTGGCGCTGGCCAGCGGGCTGGCGGGATGCGGCGAACGGCAGAATCCGTTTGCACCGGTCGGGAACGTGTTCTTCACGTTCACGGACCTGCGCCGCGGAACCGGCCCCGTGTCGGCGGTCGGGGACGTGCTCACAATCAACTACACGGGGTGGCTGCACGACTCGGGTGAAACCGACAACAAGGGCCAGCGGATCGACTCCGCGAGCGATCAGACGTTTGTCCTGGGCGCGGGTCAGGTGATTGCCGGGTTCGATCAGGGACTGGTCGGAATGAGCGTGGGCGGGTTGCGTCGGCTGAACATCCCTCCCCACCTGGCGTTCGGGTCGACCGGCTCGGACAACGTACCGCGGATACACCGCTCGTCTATGACGTCGAACTCACCGGCCTGCGGGCATTGACCACCGACAGCGCGCCATTCCAGATCATCGATCTCAAGATCGGCACCGGCCCGGAGGCCGTCAATGGCGACACCCTGACCGTCCGATACGCCGGCTGGCTCTATGATGAAGATCAGGTCGACAACAAGGGGCTGCGATTCGAGGTGGGCCCCGCCACCGGCTTCACCTTCGTGCTCGGCACCGGCCAGGTTATCCCGGGCTGGGACCAGGGGCTGGTCGGGATGCGCGAGGAGGGAGAACGGCGTCTCATCGTTCCCCCCGAGCTGGCGTACGGCTCGACGAGACGGAGCCTGATTCCGCCCAATGCGACCCTCGTCTTCGACGTGCAACTCGTGACCTTGCAGTGACTGGCTGACCGCCGCCCGATGCGGCCGACCGTTCCCGGCGGCTGACAAGCAGCTTGCGATGCTGGACCTGCCGGTGGTACGTTTGCGAACCTGATCATGAGCGTGTCCCCGGCCGCGTCCGGCGGTCTCACCATCTTCTTCCCCGCGTACAACGATGCCGGCACCATTCCCAGCATGGTGATCTGTGCGGTGACGACCGCGCGCGCGTTGACCGACGACTTCGAGGTCGTGGTGGTCAACGACGGCAGCCAGGACGCCACCGCCGACGTGCTCGACGAGCTGTCACGCATGTGTCCTGCGCTCAGAGTGGTCACGCATCCGCAGAATCGCGGATACGGCGCAGCCTTGAGGACCGGCTTCGCCTCGGCGACGAAAGACTTCGTCTTCTACACGGACGGCGACGCCCAGTATGACCCGCGTGAACTCGCGGACCTGTGGGCCCGCATGACCCCGGACGTCGACCTGGTCAACGGCTACAAGATCAGCCGGTCAGACCCGCTGCACCGCATCGTCATCGGCCGGCTCTATCACCACACGGTCAAGCTGCTGTTCGGACTGCGCATCCGCGACGTCGACTGCGACTTCCGGCTGATACGCCGCGCCTTCCTGCAGCGGCTGCAACTGGAGAAGGACAGCGGCGTCATCTGTCTCGAGCTGATGAAGAAGGCCCAGGACGCCGGTGGCCGCATCGTCGAAACGCCGGTGCACCACTATCACCGGGTCTGCGGCCAGTCGCAGTTCTTCAACGTGCCGCGGGTGGCGCGCACGCTCGTCGATATCCTGAAACTGTGGAAGGTGCTCGTCTGGCGCAGGTCAGCGGCCCCCGCGGCCCGATCTGCGACCCCCCGGAATGTCCAGCCGGTCGCGGTCACGAAGCACCTGAAAGACCGGTAGGAGCCTGCGCCGCCGCGCGACGATGGTCGCAGGATGCCGGAAGCAGGCGCGACGCGAGTGATGACGCTGCCCGATCGTGAGGCGCATCTGTGGTGGATCCGCGCTGACCGCGTCGACGACCCGGACGGACTGCGCCGCGGCCGCGACCTGCTGACCGACGACGAGCGCCGGAAGATCGACCGCTTCCGGTTCGCCCGCGATCGGCGGCTCTGCCTCGTCAGCCGGATCCTCGTCCGCACGACGCTGTCGCGCTATGCGGCTGTCCCGCCGGACGCCTGGCGATTCCGGTGCAACGACTACGGACGACCGGAGATCGACGCGCCCGCCTCGCCGCTGCGGTTCAATCTCTCGCACACGCCCGGGATGGTCGCCTGCCTGGTTAGTCGTGACCGCGAGGTCGGAGTCGACGTCGAGTCCCGCTCCCGCACGGGTGCCTGGCTGGCCCTGGCGAATCGCTATTTCGCGCCGCTCGAGGCGCAGGCCCTGCGCGCGATCGCGCCGCCGGACCGTGCGCGGCGGTTCCTGGAATACTGGACCCTCAAGGAGTCGTATATCAAGGCGCGCGGTCTCGGTCTGGCGATTCGGCTGGCCGATTTTTCATTCGACCTGCCGCCGGCGACGCCGGACGATGTCCGCATCCGGTTCTCCGGCACCCTGCGCGACACACCGGCGCGCTGGCAGTTCGGCCTGCACACGCCCGGCGGGCGGCACCTCGCGGCGACCGCCGTGGAACGCAACCGCGGTGAACCGATCCGGATCATCGCGTTCGAGGCGGTCCGCCCCTGGTGAACCGCCGGCGGCGGACCGCGACCGGCGTCGGGCGCGGCGCGTCATCAGCGATGGAACACCGGACCGTGCGTCCGGTGAGACGCCGGCGGTCCCGGCAGGATCTCCCGCAGATAGCCGTCGATGCCGCGCTCGCGGCGCCAGTGTTTCGGATAGCCCAGCGAGACCTCTTCGAAACGCACCCCGTCGATCCAGTCGGTGGTGCGGACGTGGAGGTGTCCGGTCACGACGACCTGCGCCCCGAAACGGGTGTGCCACTGCTCGGTGCGCCGGGTGCCGCACCAGATCGAGAAGCGGGGAATGCGTGGCACCCGCACGAGATCGTGTCTCAACGGAAAGTGGTTCACCAGAATCAGCGGATGGCGCGCCGCCGCCAGCCGACGTTCGGTCTGCTCCACTCGCGCGTGACACCAAGCCGTCCGCGTCGTAAAGGGATCCGGCGCCAGGTACTGCTCGTCGGCGCTGCGCACACCCTCCGCCCCGGCCCAGGCGACCGCGTCGCGCTCGTCGATCGTGTGCGGGCGGAAGCTGTAGTCGTACAGCACGAACAGCGGCGCGATCAGGCGCCGCGGCTCGCGCGGCCAGAGGGTGTAGGGATCTTCGGGAGTGACGACCCCGAACCGCCGGCACACCTCCACCGCCGCTTCGTATCTGGCGACACCCCGCACCGCGTCGTCCCGGCGACTCCAGAGCTCGTGGTTGCCCGGCGTCCAGAACACCTTCGCGAAGCGCTCGACGGCGGCGCCCAGACCCAGTTCGAGGTGACGCTCGGTCTCGCCGACGTCACCGGCGAGAATCAGCCAGTCGTCGGGCCGCGCGCGCCATGTCTCGAGCGCCTCGCGGTTGACCCGGTAGCCGAGATGCAAGTCGCTGAGCGCGTAGAGTTTCACGGCCTGCTAGCGTACATGTTTTCGTCGCCGCATCGGGAACCTCGAATGCAACGGGGCACAGGGCGTAGAATCGTCAGGACGACACACTACCGCGATGACCCCCGATTCGGACACCCACTCGCTCCAATGCCGCCAACTGGTAAAGCGGTTCGCCACGACGACCGCCGTGGACCGGCTCGACCTCACGGTGCCGTCGGGGACCATTTTCGGACTGCTTGGTCCGAACGGCTCCGGCAAGACCACGACGATCCGCACCGCGCTGGGCATCTACGTGCCTGACGGCGGAACGATCGAGCTGCTCGGGTCGCGCGACCCGCTGGCGGTGCGCGGCCGCGTCGGCTACCTGCCCGAGGAACGCGGACTCTACCCCAAGATGAAGGTCGGCGAACAGCTCGCGTTCCTGGCGTCCATCCGCGATCTCGACCAGTCGGAATCGCACCGCCGGGCAGGCGCCTGGCTCGAACGGATCGGTTTGGCCGCCAACACGCACTCCCTGACGGGCGAGCTGTCGAAAGGCATGCAGCAGAAGGTCCAGTTCGCGGCGGCGGTCCTGCACGACCCGGAACTGATCGTGCTGGACGAGCCGTTCTCCGGGCTCGACCCGGTCAACACGAAACTGCTCCAGGAGTTGATTCTGGAACAGCGGGCGCGCGGCGCCACCGTCATCCTGTCGACGCACCGGATGGAGCAGGTGGAAGCGCTGTGCGAGTCGATCTGCCTCATTCACCAGGGACGACCGGTGCTGGCCGGCAATCTGGCGGAGATCAAGGCCGGATACGGCCGCAACACCGTGTCCGTCGAGTACCGCGGCGCCGCCGGCGCCCTCGCCGATCTCGACGGGGTTCGCCGATGCGAAGACACCGGTCACGAAGCGCGGCTCGAACTGGCGCCGGAGACCGACGCACAGGCGGTGATCCGCGCCGTGCTCGACCGGGTCAGCGTCCAGAGCGTGCGCTTGGAGCATCCCCACATCGAAGAGATCTACCTGGAGAAGGTGGGCCGCCACAGGGCGGGCGCAGCGGAGGTGGCCGCACGATGAATCTGAACCAGGTGCTGAAGATCGCCCGCCGCGAGTATCTCGCCCGGGTCCGCAGCCGCGCCTTCATCTTCATGACGATCCTGGTGCCGGCGCTCATGGCCGGCTACATGCTCGTCATGCCCATCCTCTTCTCGAACACGGGCACGGACGAGCTGAGGATCGCGGTGGTCGACGCCGAGACCGGGCTGGCCGCCGCGGTGGGGGAACATCTCGGCCGCATCGACCTGCCGCGCATCACGGTCACCAGACAGACCACGGTGCCGGATGAGTCGGACGCATCGAGGGCGCCGTTCACCGCCGGCGTCCGGGAGGGGCAGATCGACGGCTACCTGCTGCTGCGCCCGGACCCCGACATCGTCGCCCGCGGCCGTTACTACGCGCGCGAGACCGGCAACCCGACCGTGATGGGAGAGCTGGAGCGAGCCGTGGAAGCGGCGGTCCTCGAGCGCCTGCTCGTCGACACCGGGGTCGATGTCGCGCAGGTGCGGGCATTGCAGCGCTCCTCGCTGGACACGGTCACCGTATCGGACGAGGGAGAGTCCGAGGGCGGTTTCGAGCTCGCGTTCTTGAGTACGCTCGCCCTGGCGATGCTGCTCTACATGGCGATCATGATCAACGGACAGGGCATGGCGATGGCGATCGTCGAAGAGAAGGCGTCGCGGCTGATCGAGGTCATCCTCGGCGCCGTCACCGCCGCCGAGTTCATGACCGGGAAGATTCTGGGCGTGCTCGGGTCCGGACTGACGCAACTCGCCGTCTGGGTCGGCGCGGCCTTGGTCGGCCTGCTCTACGCGCTGCCGATGCTGTCGCTGTCCGCCGACCTCGGCGGCGTCGATCTGAGCGCGGTGCTGAACCTGCAGTTGATCGGCTACTACTCCATTTTCTTCACGCTCGGCTACTTCCTGTACTCGATCCTGTTCGCCGCCATCGCCGCCACCTGCACCAGCACCGAAGAACTGGCACAATCGATGCTCGCTGCCATCCTGCCGCTGGTCGTGGCCCTGATGTCGAGCTTCTACGTCGTCGCGAACCCGGCCACCACGGCGGCGCGGGTGCTAAGTCTGCTGCCGCCGTTCACCCCGCTGGTCATGCTGGCCCGCATCAACGTGCTGCCGCCCCCGCTCTGGGAGATCTGGTTGGGAATCGGCCTGCTGGTCCTCGGCATCGCGGCGTCCGGCTGGCTGGCCGCCAAGATCTTCCGCTATGCGCTGCTCATGCATGGCAAGCGGCCCACGCTGCCGGATCTGCTGGGCGTGATGCGGGCCTCGTGAACCCTGATCTGCATCACGACCCACCGGGCGAATGCAACGGGGGTTTTGCCACGGACTGGTATGATGCTGTCTGCATCGCGCCGTCGCGACCACGCGTCCGCACGTACAGATGAGTTCGTGCAGGCTCGCACGGCGCCGCAGACCGAAGAGGACCGATGTCATGAGAATGTTGCCGATACCGACCTGCCTGACAGTGGCGCTGCTGAGTGTCGCCGGACCGGTCGCCGCCCAGGAACCCTCGACCGCCAACGGCGAGTGGCCCTCCTATGGCGGCAACCTGTCCCACGACCGCTACTCGCCACTCGATCAGATCACGGCCGACAACTTCAGCGATCTGGAGCTGGCCTGGCGGTTCAACACGGACAACCTCGGCCCGCGGCCGGAGAACAACTATCAGTCGACCCCCCTGATGGTGAACGGCATCCTCTACGTCACCGCCGGGTCCAGACGCGCCGCGGTCGCACTCGATCCGGAGACCGGCGAGCTGCTCTGGATGCATCGAGTCGACGAAGGAGAACGTGGAGCGACCGCCCCGCGCCGGCTGTCCGGCCGCGGACTGACCTACTGGAACGACGGGGCAGACGGCGTCATCCTGTATGTCACCCCCGGGTACCAGCTCGTCGCCCTGAATGCACTCACGGGGCATCGCATGGAGGGTTTCGGTGACGGCGGCATCCTCGACCTGAAACAGAATATCGACCAGGACCTCGAGCCGACCTCGGAGATCGGGCTGCACGCCGCGCCGATCGTGGCCGGCAACACGATCATCGTCGGGGCGGCGCATCTGCCCGGCGGGGCGCCGCCATCGCGCACCAACGTCAAGGGCTATATCCGGGGCTTCGACGTCCGGAGCGGCGAACGCAAGTGGATCTTCCATACGATTCCGAACGGCGACGAATTCGGCAACGACACCTGGGGCGACGGGTCCTGGCGCTACACGGGCAACACCGGGGTCTGGTCCCAGATGACCATCGACCCCGAGTTGAACATGGCGTATCTGCCGATCGAGGCGCCGACCGGTGACTACTACGGCGGTCATCGTCCCGGCGACAACCTCTTCTCCGGCAGCATCGTGGCGGTCGATCTGGATACCGGCGAGCGGGTCTGGCACTACCAGACGGTGCACCACGACATCTGGGACTGGGACCTGCCGGCGGGCCGCGGTGCTGCTGGACATCACCGTCGACGGGCGCGACATCAAGGCGCTCATCCTGCCCACGAAGCAGAACTACATGTTCGTTCTCGACCGCCAGACCGGCGAACCGATCTGGCCGATACCGGAGGTGCCGGTCCAGCCGGGTGACGTGCCTGGCGAGTGGTATGCGCCGACCCAGCCGATTCCGAGCAAACCGCCGCCGGTCGACGAGATCGACCTGAACGAGGATCTCCTTGTCGACTACACGCCCGAGTTGCGGCAACGCGCCGGGGAGATCTACGGCAGACACACGATCGGATGGCTGTACGACCCGCCGACCGTGGCGCGGCCCGACATGCTGGGCACTCTGCAGCTTCCGAACTCGACGGGCGGGGTGAACTGGCCCGGCGGAGCGGCCGACCCCGAAACGGGGTCCTTCTACATCTACACGAAGACCCAGATCGGGGCGCTCGGGCTGGTCAACGACCCGGATCGCTCAGACATGGACTTCATTCGCGGCCGGCCCGATGGGGTCGGCTTCCGGGACGCATCGACCAGTATCGACGGCTTCCCGATGATCAAGCCGCCCTGGGGCCGGATCACCGCCATCGACATGAACGTCGGCGAGATCGCCTGGCAGATTCCGCACGGCGAGGCCCCCGACAACATCCGCAACCACCCACTGCTCGGTGGTCAGGACATCGGGCGGACCGGGTGGCCGGGTCGCGTCGGCGTGCTGGTCACGAAGAATCTGGTCATCGCCGGAGAATCGGGGAGCTACACCACGGACACGGGTGACACCGGTGCGATGCTGCGCGCCTACGACAAGGCGACGGGCGACGAGGTGGGGGCGGTGTACATGACCGCTCCGCAGTCCGGATCACCGATGACCTACGCGGTGGACGGCCAGCAGTACGTCGTGGTGGCCACCAGCGGCGGCGGCCAGTCGGGCACGCTGCTCGCCTATACGCTGCCCTGACGCAGTCCGCTCGACCGTCGGTCCACACGGGCAACGCCAAACCGGCGTCGGACGCGTGACGCAGGCGCCGGCGCGGACGTCCGCGCCGGGCGACCATCGCTCGAGCGGGCCATCCGGACATGCCATGACCGCGACGCGGCCGAACTTCTACGCCAACGTTTCCCGCACCTTCGATCTTGCCGCCGCCTTCGGCGTCTATCCCCCCGGTCTGCTGGACCAGATCAAGCGCTGCAACTCGGTCTATCTCATGGAGTTCCCGCTGCGCCGCGCCAACGGGAGCATCGACGTCATCCGGGCCTGGCGCGCCGAGCACAGTCATCACCGGCTGCCGCTCAAGGGCGGCATCCGCTACAGCCCGCAGGTCAACCAGGACGAGGTCACGGCCCTGGCCACGCTCATGACCTTCAAGTGCGCGATCGTGGATGTCCCGTTCGGGGGCGCGAAGGGCGCGGTGCAGATCGACACGAGCACCTGCACGGATGACGAGATCGAACGGCTGACCCGGCGCTACACGCACGAGCTCGTGAAGAAGAATTTCATTGGCCCCGCCCTCGACGTGCCGGCGCCGGATTTCGGGACCGGGAGCCGCGAAATGGCCTGGATCGCCGACACCTACGTGCAGCTTCGTCCGAACCAGATCGACGCCCTCGGCTGCGTGACGGGCAAACCGGTGGACGAGGGCGGCATTCATGGACGGACCGAGGCGACCGGCCGCGGGGTCTTCTTCGCACTGCGGGAAGTCTGTGCACACACCGCAGACATGCAGCGACTCGGACTCACCCCCGGTATCGAAGGCAAGCGTGTTGTGGTGCAGGGGTTCGGCAAGGTCGGGTACTGGGTGGCGCGGTTCTGCGATGAGGCGGGCGCACGCATCGTGGGCCTCGCCGAGCGCGACGGCGCCATCGCCGCCCCCGGGGGGCTCGACCTGGAACAGGTCAAGCAGCACCGCGACGCCACCGGCTCGCTGCTGCACTTCGCGGGCGCCGACACGCTGTCCCGTTCAGCCGATGTGCTGGAACTCGACTGCGACGTCCTGATTCCGGCCGCCCTGGAAGGTCAGATCACCGCCAGCAACGCAGATCGGATCCGTGCCCGCATCGTGGTGGAGGGCGCCAATGGCCCGACCACCCCGGAGGCGGACGAGATTCTTCACGCCAAGGGCATCCTCGTCGTCCCCGACATCTACGCCAACGCGGGCGGCGTGATCGTGTCGTACTTCGAGTGGCTCAAGAACCTCTCCCACGTCGGCTTCGGCCGGCTCGAGAAGCGTTATCAGGAAAGCGCATACGGCCGCCTGCTCTCGACGATCGAGTCTGCGACCGGCACGACGATCAGCGCCGACGAGCGTCGAGCCGTCATTCGCGGCGCAGACGAGTTGACCGTCGTGAACTCCGGACTTGAAGAGATCATGGCGGTCGCCTACGCCGAGATTCGCGACACTCTGCTGCGCAGACCTGAGATACGCTCGATGCGCATGGCCGCCATGGTGAACGCCATCAACAAGGTGGCGCGATCGTATCTGTCAATGGGCGTCTTTCCCTGATCACGTCTGCCCGCCCGGGGGCAGCAGATCCTCGCCGTCGGTACGGAGCAGGATGTCCTGCGCGGCGGCGACCAGCGTCACCAGCGGCAGCGGGCGCAAGATCTCCTCGACCGGGTCTCCGAACGGGTCGAGCAACTGCATGCCCTCGACCCGCAACGGCAGAAGCACGATTGCGGCATCGCGAGACTGCGCCACGACCGCGGTCCGATCGGCGTCGGCGACCGGCACGATCTCAGCGTCGATGCGCCGGTCCTCGAGCCGCTGGGCGAGGTTGGCGGCGACCTTGCGGCCGCTGTCGGCCGGAGCCGGCACGAGCAGGCGGATTGTCGCATCGTCCCAGTCGTCGGTCCGGGTCATCAGGTGTGCGAACAGCAGCGCCAGACGGGACGAGTCGTCATCGAACCACCAGACGTCGATGCGCCGCCGGTGTGGCTTTGTCTGCTCGAGCCGCACCCAGTCGGTCTCCGCGGCATCGAAGACCACGACGTTTTGCCTGAGCCGCATGATGCGCCGCAGTACCCTGGCGTATCGCCGTGACACCGGTTCGTTGTGATGCTCCAGCCAGTTGAGCGCCACCGTGTTGGCTCGCACCGGGCCAACGCCCCACGCCTGCAGCAGCGTCATCGACGCCGACTCCAGGTCCGGCGCCACGACGACCAGCGGAAACGCGTCGAGGTCATCCGCCTCGAGCGCCGCCCGCAACTGCCGCTCCGCGGCGCGCTGTTGCGAGCGCGCCAGCTCCGAGCCGCTCTGTCCTTCGATCAACTGCACCGCCGTCACCATCCCGGTCCCTCCGCTGATCCAGGACGCCAGCGCCAGCACCCGGGAACGCCGCTCGGCGGTTTCGGTGAACAGCAGGATCTGGGGCTGCCAGTCGACGGGAGACTCCTCCTGCCCGGCGAGTTCGCGCAGACCGTCCTTGACCTGCCGATAGCGGTAGGCGCGCCGGCTGTCACGCCAGCGCGTGGGGACCGCCGTCCAGCGCAGGTACTGGTATCCGGCGAACAACAGCGCCACCGCGACGGCGGTCGCCATCGGGTCCATCAGCAGGCATCACGATGCCGCACAGGCACGTGCCCAGCAGGCTGGCCCGTGCGTCGTAGAACCGGAACCGCGGCCGGAACGACGGTCCGGCGCCGTGCGCTTCCACGTACTTGGCGTAGTTCAGCAACCCGTAGGAAGTCAGGAAGAACATCGACACGACCGAAGCGATGGCGTTCAGGTCGCCGGCGGCAATGGTCGCCATCGCGATGATCCCGGTCAGGATGACCGCCCGGCGCGGGTTGCCGGTGCGCGCGTCGACGACCGCGAACGGCCCCAGTCCCTTGAACAGTTGTCGCTGGCGAGCGCCTGGAGAATCCTCGGCGCACCGAGAAACGACGCCAGGGCCGACGAGAGGGTGGCCGCCACACGCCGCGGCGAACATCAACCAGGCACTGCGGCCACGCGCGACATGCCCTCGTAGTCGGCGGCCAGATCGGCTAGCGGCCGGGCGGCCGCGAACATGACTATCGCCGCCCCGTAGATCACGGTCGACAGTCCCACCGCCAGAAACGTCCCGCGCGGGAGACTGCGCGACGCGTCCCTGAGGTCGCCGGACATGCTCACGCCCTGCGTGAAGCCGGTTACCGCGGGAAAGAAAATGGCGAACAGCAGCCAGAAACGGCTGCGGTTCGGCATCCGGCCGCGGTAGCAGACTCGATCGCAGCAGGTCCGGGTCCCAGGCGGCATGGGCCCCGAGGAAGAACGAGGCCAGTGCGGCGACCAGCAGCGCCATGATCACGTACTGCAGACGCGTGGCCAGGTCGGCCCCGGCATAGGCCAGCGCGAACAGCGCGACCGCCGCGATCGACGCAGTCACGCGCACGAGCAGATCGGAGCCGCCGGCGATGGCTGCCACCGCCTCGCCGAACCCCACACAGTAGAAGGCGACCGACACGGCCTGGGCCAGAAACAGCAGCACGCCGAGCGCACCGCCATACTCGACCCCCAGACTGCGCGAGATCAGGTAGTAGTCGCCGCCGCCGCCGACCTTGCGGTTGGTCGCGATCGCCGAGAGCGACATGCTGGTGTTCACCGAGATCGCGGTGGCCAGCGCCAGCATCCCCAGCGCCGGCAGCAGACCCGCGGCACCGACGACGTAGCCCAGACGCCGGAACAGGATGATGCCGAGAATCGTGAGGACACTGGGGGTGAAGACACCGCCGAAGGTGCCAAGGAGCCGGCGTTCGGCGCGCGGAGACTGAGGTAGCATTTGAGACGCGGGTGCGCTCATGACCGGACGGCGATCATACCAGCGCCCGCCGGCCGCGGACTGCCGCGCCGCATCTGACATCAAACACCAAACAGGAGGAGGCCCCGTGCCGGCCTACGACACCATCCAGTACGCCGTCGACGAACCGATCGCGACGATCACCCTGAACCGCCCGGACCGGCTCAACGCCTTGACCGGGCAGATGCTGGCCGAACTGCAGCAGGCGGTGGCGGCCGCCGAGGCGGACGAACGGGCGGTGGCGATCCTGCTGACCGGCGCCGGCCGCGGGTTCTGCGCGGGCGCCGACATGGCGCGCCTGCAAGCCACCTCGCAGGGCAAGACCCGATCGTCGGTCGCGTTCGAAGCGGGCGAGAAACCGGGTGATTACAACATGCTCGGCGAGGGCTACCGACAGGGGCACGCTTATCTGCTAGCGGTCCGCAAGCCAATCGTCGCGGCCGTCAACGGACCGTGCGCCGGTCTGGGCTTCGTCATCGCGATGCTGTGCGACATCCGCTTCGCCTCGGACCGCGCCCTCTTTACCACGGCGTTCGCGCAGCGGGGGCTGGTGGCCGAACATGGGGTCAGTTGGATCCTGCCGCGTCTGATCGGGCCGGCGCGCGCCCTGGACATCCTGCTCACCGGGCGCAAGTTCGATGGCGCGGAAGCGGAGCGGCTCGGCGTGGTGAACCGGATGGTCGAACACGACCGCCTCCTGAGTTACGCCCGCGAGTATCTGACCGCGATGGCGGCCACCGCCGCGCCGAAGTCGCTGCAAACCATGAAACATCAGGTCTACAAGCATCTCGACGCGCCGCTCGGTGACGCGTTGCAGGAATCGATGGCGCTGATGGAACACAGCCTGCGGGACGCGGACTTCAAGGAAGGGGTCGACTCGTATCTCGAAAAACGCGCGCCGCGTTTCGCGCGGGTCACCGTCGGCTGACCGTCCGTGATGCGCGTCCCGCGGCAGACGACCGGCGCAGCAGCCCGGCGACCGGACGCGCGCCGCCCCCGTCTCTCGCGCTAGCGCAGATCGATCGCGACCAGCGTGTCGCCGTTGCGTGCATACAGACGGCCGTCGGCCAGAGCCGGATAGGCCCGCACGACGCCGGGGAGGATCGCGGCCGCGGCGAGCGGCCGGAACCCGTCGGGCGAGGCCTCCGCCAGCAACAACTCACCCGATTCGCGCAGAATCACGAGACGGCCCCCGGCGAGGGTGATCGATCCGGCGCCGAAGCGCTCCTCGCTCCAGCGCACCTCGCCGGTCCGCAGGTCGACCGCGCGCAGGCTCGGTCCGTACTCCTGGCGGCCGTGGTAGCCGTACAGCACGCCGTCGCGCACCACGGCGGTGGCGTAGTGATTCGTCATGCTGTCGTCCCCGGCCCACTCCTCGACCAGCGCCGACCCCTCGACCCGGAACAGCGCGGCGCCGGTGCCGTAGCTGGAGGAGATGAAGATTCGCTCGCCGACAACCAGCGGTGTCGCCGCGTTGACCGACGCGCCCAACCGCGACCGCCAGCGGCGCTCGAACAGGACGGCGCCCGATTCGGGGTCGAGACCGACCAGCCCGTTCCGCGTGAAGAAGAGCGCGTGCCGGCGCCCGCCGAAGGTGGCGCCCACCGGCGACGAATAGCTCGCCTCGTCGGTCGTTGCGGTCCAGAGTTCGGCGCCGGTCCGCGCGTCGAACGCCACGATACCGCCGCGCCGCCCGCCCACGTTGGCGATCAGCCGCCCGTCCTCGACCAGCGGCGAGCCGGCGGCGCCAAAGAAGCCCTTGGCCACGGCGTAGCGCTCGTGGGTGTCCAGGCTCCAGACTCCCTCACCCGTCTCGAGGTCCACGGCGTGCAGTTGGCCCTGAGCGCCGAATACGTAGACCCGGCCGTCGGCGACGACCGGCACTGAGCGCGGTCCTTCGTCGAATCCGAAGTCGTCGCGGTACGTCGTCGTGTAGTCGTAGCGCCAGAGGGTCGCTCCCGACTCGACCGACAGCGCCTCGACCACTTCGCTGGCCCCGACCCGGTGGAACAGGATGACGCGGTCGCCCACCACCGCCGGACCGGCGAACCCCGCGCCGACCGGCCGCTGCCACAGCCGCGCCGGCCCGCCCGCCGGCCACGTGTCCGCAAGCTGCACGCCGGAGTACGTGCCGTTGCGCGTCGGACCGAGAAACTGGGGCCAATCCTGGGCCAGGAGCGCGACTCCCGCGGCCCGGACCAGCACGACCGCCACGCCGGCGCCGAGGATGACGATAAGCCGTTTGCGTCGTATCATCCGGGGTCAGGCTCCTTCAACGGTAGTCGGGGTCGGTCGCCAGGGCGGCATAGACCGAGTGATCGACCCAGTGATCGTACAGCCACTCCGCGTCCCGGATCTGTCCTTCGAGGCGGAACCCCAGACGCTGCGGCACGGCGCGGCTGCGATGATTGTCAACGGCGCAGCGTATCTCGATGCGATGCAACCCCATCACACCGAAGCCGTAGGCAACGAGACGGCGGCACGCCGCCGTGACGAGCCCCTGTCCCTGGAATTCCTCCCCCACCCAATACCCCAGCGCGGTCGCCCGGTTCCGCCAGTCGATGCGATGATGTCCGATGACACCCGCAATCTGGCCACGCCACACGAGCGCCGCCTGAAAACCGTTATTGTCGCGCGCCTGGATGAGCGCGGCGCTGATGAAACCGCGCGTGTCTTCGACCATCCGGACGCCGTCCAGCCACGGCAACCAGCGACGCAGGTGGGCGCGGTTGCGATCGGTCAGCCGAAACAGCTCTTCGGCGTGACGCATTTCAAGCGTGCGCAGGTAGAACTCGTCGTTGATGGCCAGTGTCGCCATGTGGTGAGCGGCGCGATTATATCGTGCGGCAACCGCCGCTCCGACAACCGTCTTTGCCACACGCCCCCAGATGACGTAGCCTTGTCCCGATACGGACCACGGAGTTGGATCGATGACTGTGCCACGGCGTCGTCTCGCTCGCGGACTCACTCTGCTCATGGCGATCGCCTGCCTGGCGATGCTCGCGGGAACCTCCAGTGCACAGTATTTCCGCGAAGGCCGGATGGCGCCGCGGTACCCGCCCGCGTCGATGCCCGACCGCGACTTCGCGTTCTGCAAGCTCGCCTACACCAGCGTCAGATACGAAGACCTCGGGATGGGGTGGCGGACCGATTATCCGTATGCCGGCATCAACCTGATGATTCGCTTCTCCGAGCTGACGATGGCCCCGGTGAGCACGGACCGGCGGGGCGATCCGAACCACTGGGTCGTCCAACTGACGGACCGCGAGCTGTTCAACTGCCCGTTCCTCATGGCCTCCGACGTCGGCACCATCGGACTGAGCGGCGCCGAAGCGGACCAGCTCCGTACGTATCTGCTCAAGGGCGGATTCCTCTGGGTCGACGACTTCTGGGGCACGCCCGCCTGGCGGCACTGGAGTTCCGAGATCGCGAAGGTGCTGCCCCCGACGGAGTATCCGATCTTCGATCTGCCGCTCGATCATCCGGTCTTTCGCACGTTGTCCTATGTCGAGAAGGTGCCGCAGATCACCGCGATCCAGTTCTGGGGATGGAGCCGCGGCACGACGTCCGAGCGCGGTCTCGACAGCGCCGAAGCCCACCTGCGGGCGATCACCGACGAAAACGGCCGCGTCCTCGTGCTCATGTCCCACAACACCGATGTCGCCGACGCCTGGGAGCGGGAAGGCGAAGACCCCCTGTTCTTCAAGAAGTTCTCGCCCGACGGCTACGGGCTCGGCATCAACGTCCTGCTCTACGCGATGAGCCACTAGGAACAGCAACATGATGACTCGATACGGTCGCCGCGGCCGGCGCCTCTCGGCCGTGCACGTCATCCTGGGTCTCTGCCTGCTCGCGCTGACCGCGCCCGAGGCGCCCGCCCAGGGGGTCGGGGTCCGCATGGTTCCGCCCGAGGGGGATGGCGCGCGCTACTGGTCCCGCTGGCGCGGACCGTCCGGCCAGGGCGTGGTGGAGGGCGGCGGGTATCCGGATACCTGGTCGGACACGGCCAACGTGCGCTGGAAGGTGGCGGTGCCCGGCAGCGGCCACTCGTCGCCGATCGTCTGGGGCGATCGAATCTTCCTGACAACGTCGAGGGACCGGGGGACAGCAGGTTTCGATTCTCTGCTTCCGGCGGTCCGACGGGGCGCTGCTCTGGGAAGCCGAGGCGCCCGCGGGCCGGCCGGAACGCCATCACGGCAAGAACACGCCGGCGTCCGCCACCCCGACCACCGACGGCGAACGGGTCTATGCGTCGTTCGGCAGCCGCGGCATGATGGCGGTCGACTTCGACGGCAATCTCGTCTGGCACCGCGACCTCGGCCGTATCGACAACTATCACGGTCCGGCCGGGCTCGCCGCTGCTGTACCGCGACACGGTCATCATTTACCAGGACCAGAACGGCGGAGCGTTCGTCATTGCGCTCGATGCCCGCACCGGAGACATCCGCTGGCAGACCGCACGGTCGGCCCGGGTGGGGTGGGGCACGCCGGTCGCCATCTCGGTCGGCGACCACGACGAGCTCATCGTCAGCAGTCAACAGCAGGTGCAATCGTACAACCCGCTCACCGGCGACGAGCTCTGGCGCTGCGACGGCATGCTGCGCGAGGTCATTCCGACACCGGTCGTCGGCCTCGGACTGGTCTTCTGCACTTCGGGCCGCGCCGGTCCGACGCTGGCGATCCGGCCGGGGGGCCGCGGCGACGTCACCGGCACGCACGTCGAATGGAAGACGACCCGCGGCTCTCCGTTCGTGCCATCACCGATCCTGTACGGCGATTACCTTTATACGCTCAACGACATGTCGAGCATCATCACCTGTCTGAACGCCAGGACCGGGGAAACGGTGTGGCAGGAACGGCTGGGTCGTCCAACGCGGGAAGGGATCTCGGCATCGCCGATCGTCGTCGACGACAAGCTGTTCGTGACGAACGACAACGGTCAGACGTTCGTCCTGAAGTTGGGGCCGGAATTCGAGCTGCTGCACATCAACGACATCGGGACACGGACCCTCGCCTCACCCGCGCTCGTGACGGCATGTGGTACATCCGCACCACCAGCGAACTCATCGCGATAGGCTGACGCCGCGGGCGCTGCCGGCCGCTCAGAACGTCGCGATCGGGTTCAGCGGCGACCCGGTGCCCCCTTCCACCGCGAGCGGCGCCGCCGACAGCATGAACTCCCACCGATTCTGACGGGCCGCCTCGACGGCCAGTGCTTCGAGGTCGAGGGTTGTCGAAGATCCGCACCCCCATGGCGACCAGCACCAACTGGTGAATCGGCTGCGGCACGCCGTCCACACCGGACGGCAGCGCGTCGTTGGTGTAATCGCTGCCGATCATCGCGACGTCACGCTCGCGCAGCCATGGCCCCACGGACGCGTGCAGCCCGGCCGCCGAGCGCCCGGTGGCCCAGGGGCCCACCTCGGCCCGCCGCGCCCAGCGGCCCGCACGGACCAACAGAATGTCGCCCGGCTCGACGCGGGCGCCGGTCTGCCGCTCCCACGCTTCAAGATCCTCCACGTAGATCGGGGTGCCCGGCTCCAGATACTCGACCCCCTTCAGACGCGCGATGTCCATCAGGACCCCCTTGGTCAGGAGGCCCTGCTTGACGTCGAGAATCGACAGCTTCGCGCAGCCGTCCTCCGAAACGTCGCCGGCGCGGGTGAACCCGTTGTACATCTGCCCGTTGTGCGCCATGTGGCAGAGCGAGTCCATGTGACTGTGCGCGTAGCCGTGATAGGCGATGTTGAAGCGATCGCTGACGAACGGGCCGGGCCGGTTGAGCCCGAGCATCTCGTGCGCGAACGGCGAGGTCGCATCCTCGGCACGCTCGGTCAGATAGTTGTGGGACAGCGACACGGAGACGCCTGCACGCACCAGGCCGGCCGCCTGCACCCGCTTCTCCGGGGTGATGAGGTTGAGCGCACCCAACTGGTCGTCGTCTCCCCAGCGCCCCCAGTTCGAGAGTTCCGTCATCCAGGCCTCGACCATCGCCTGGGTCACATTGCGGTCGGTCTGGGCCCGCACCTCGAAACGGCCGGAACCGGCAACGACGGCCAGCCCGATCGCCACGGCCGTTGTCGCCAGCGCACGACGTCCATTCCACTGCATGCTTATCCCCCCTGACTTTCCCTGGATCCGGACGCGGCGGTCACGGCATCCGAGGCCCCTCCGTAATCCGATAGAGCTTCGACGCCGTGCGGATGAACAGGCTGCGGTGGGCGATTGCCGGCGTCGCCATCGTGAATTCCTCGAGGGCGTTGGTGCCGAGGACCTCGTACTCAGTCCCCGCGCGGATCACATAGGTGTCGCCGTCTTCGCTCAGCGCGAAGATCCTGCCGTCGTACGCCCAGGGCGACGCGTGAACGCCGCCCCGACCGCGATGCGCTGCCGCCCGTAGACCTCTTCGCCGGTCCGGGCGTCATGGGCGGTGAAGAACCCGCGGTCGAGCAGTGTGTAGTAGTAGTCGCCATAGAGAATGGGCGACGGATTGTAGGGACCGGCCTGCGGCTGATACCAGGCGACATGTTCGTTGCCCGTCTCGCCCGCCGCCAGGCTGATGTCACCGGAGGCCCCGGGCCGGATCGCGAAGACCGGCCGAATCTGGTCGCCGATATAGCCTGACGCGATGTACAGCAATCCGAACTCGGAAAATGGCGTCGGGATGGTGATCGACGACATCCCGGTCAGCTCCCAGAGCAGCGTGCCCTGCAGGTCGTATGACCGCACCTTGCCGGTGCCGGTGGTCACCAGCTCCGTGCGCAGGTCGTGCTCCCAGACGAACGGTGTGGACCAGTTCGACCCTTCGTCGCGATCGACGCGCCAGATCTCGGCGCCGGTCTCGGCGCTCAGCGCCAGCAGATAGGACTGCTCGTCGTTGTCGTTCACGACATAGAGCCGTCCGTCGTGCAGCACCGGCGAGGCCGCCGTCCCCCACCCGTAGCGGGTCCTGCTCGGTTCGATCTCCCGCGACCACAGCAGTTGCCCCTCCAGATCGAAGCAATACAGACCGATGTTGCCGAAGTAGACGTACAGCCGTTCCCCATCGGTGACCGGGGTCTCGGAGGCGAAGGTGTTCTTGAGATGATGCGCCGTCTCGGGCACGCCGCGGTGTACCTCGCGCTGCCAGCGCAACGCGCCGGTGGCGGCGTCCACAGCGTAAACCATCCAGTGATGCATCTCCGCCGGGGTGCCGCGGTCTCCGCCGTAGTACAGACCGCCCTGTGGGGTCTCGACGTCGCCGTCGCTGGTCACCGAGGTGAGGAATACGGCGCCGCCGGCCACGATCGGCGAACTCCACCCCAGTCCGGGGATGTCCGTCACCCAGGCGACGTTCTCGGTGGTGCTCCAGCGTACGGGGAGGCCGGTCTCGTCCACCACGCCGCGTGCGCCGGCGCCCCGGAACTGCGGCCAGTCGTCGTTGGCGGCGGGCCGCGCCCCCAACGCCAGCACCCCGGCAAACGCCACGACACACGCCTGTCTCATCATTGTTGCCGATGATGCCCGCCGCATTGCAGCCTGTCCAGTGAAATCAGCCGGCCGGCCCTTGTACAATCCGGGCATGCCGCCGCCGGCGCCGTCCTCCTCCGATCTCTGCGACTGCACGGCGCGCGAACTCGCCGCGCTGGTCCGCCGGCGGCAGGTCTCGGCGCGTGAGGTCACGACGGCCCACCTGAGGCGTATCGAGCAGGTCAATCCCGGCCTGAACGCCATCGTCACCCTGCTGCCGGAGCGGGCACTGGCGGAGGCGGACGCCACCGACGCCGCGCTGGCGCACGGGCAGAACCCGGGTCCCCTGTGCGGATTGCCGGTGGCGCACAAGGACCTCTTCGTCACCGCCGGCATCCGCACGACGTTCGGCTCGCTGGCCTTCGAGCACCATGTGCCGGACGAGACCGCCCTCATCGTCGAACGCGAGCGCCGCGCCGGAGCCATCACGCTCGGGAAGACAAACACGCCCGAGTTCGGCGCCGGGTCGCAGACCTTCAACGCGGTGTTCGGCGCGACCCGCAACCCGTACGATCCCACGAAGACCTGCGGCGGCAGCAGCGGCGGCGCCGCGGCGGCGCTGGCGACCGCATGGCTACCGATTCGCCGAAAGATGGCAGCGATCTGGGCGGATCGCTCCGCAACCCGGCCAGCTTCTGCAACGTGGTCGGATTCCGCTCGTCTCCCGGTCGTGTCCCCCGCTGGCCCAGCGCGGCGCCCTGGTTCCGTTCGACATCCACGGCCCGATGGCCCGCACCGTCGCGGATGTCGCGCTCGTTTTCGACGCGATCGCCGGACCGGACGCGCGGGCGCCGTTGTCGCTGGGGATCACCCCCGGGACAACCGCCGGACGGCTCGAGCGGGACTTCAGCGGCACCCGCATCGGGTGGACGGCCGACCTCGGGACGCTCCCGGTGGAACCGGCCGTCACCGCGGTGTTCTCGAGCCGGCGGGCGACCTTTGAAGACCTTGGCTGTATCACGGACGACGACTGGCCCGATCTGTCCGGGGCGGACGAGGTCTTCACCACGTGGCGCGCCTGGTTCTACGACCTGGCGTTCGGCGCCGTCCTCGATCGACATCGGCCGCTGCTCAAGGACACCGTCGTCTGGAACATCGAAGCCGGCCGCGAACTCGGCGGCGCGCACATCGCCGCCGCCGAACGCGCCCGGGCGGCGCTGTACGACCGGGTCCGGCGTTTTCTGGAGACGCACGAGTTCCTCGTGCTGCCGGTGGCGCAGGTGGCGCCGTTCCCGGTCGAACTGCCGTACGTCACGGCCATCAACGGCCAACCGCTGCCCACGTATCTCGACTGGATGAAGTCCTGCTGTCAGATCAGCGTGACGGGACTACCGGCCATCTCGGTACCAGGCGGGTTCACCGCCGCCGGGTTGCCGGTCGGCATCCAGATCGTGGGGCGGCCCTACGACGATCTCGGGGTCCTGCAGCTCGCCCACGCGTTCGATGCAGGCCACCGGCTTCTGGCAACGGCGCCCCCCGATCCTGCCGGTGCGCTGATCCCCGACCGCCCCGGCGTCGCAGCCAGTCTGCCCGGCCGCCGGACTGGCATCGGCTGCCGGGAAGTGATACAACGCTCGCGATGCGCTGCGCGAATACGAATGTCTGATGTTCCGGGAGCGCGGGGCACGGAGGCAACGATGAGCACGCGATTGAATCGAGCATTCGGTGTGGCGGGGGTAGCGGTCCTGCTGGCGGCCGGACTGGCCTGGGTCGGCGCCGGCGCCGGCGCGCAGGTGGCGCTGGACGCGGACGATATCGGCGGCGTCGTACGCGGTGCCAACGGACCCGAGGCGGGGGTCTGGGTCATCGCCGAGACGGACGAACTCGACACCCGGTTCCGCAAGATCGTGGTGACCGATGACGCGGGGCGCTACACGCTCCCGGATCTGCCGCCCGCCCGCTACGACGTCTGGGTCCGCGGATACGGCCTGACGGACTCGGCGCCGGTGACCGCCCGCCCCGGCGCCACGGTGGATCTGCAGGCGGTTGTCGCCGCGACGCCGCGCGAGGCGGCCGCGGTCTATCCCGCCAACTACTGGTACTCGCTCGTCGAGGTCCCGCCGGAAAGCGCGTTCCCCGGCACCGGCGAGAACGGCAACGGCATCTCTCCCGGCATGCGCACCCAGGCCGCCTGGATCGACGGACTGAAGCAGGGCTGCCAGTTGTGTCATCAGCTTGGCAACCAGACGACCCGCGAGATCCTGAATCCCGGCGACTTCGATTCGACCGAGGCCGCCTGGGCCCATCGCGTCCGCGTCGGCCAACGCGGATCGCGCATGAACGGCGGTCTGCGGCGGTTCGGGGCGGACCGGGCGGTGGCAATGTATGCCGACTGGACCGACCGCATCATGGCCGGCGAGGTGCCCGAGGCTCCGCCGCGGCCACAGGGGCAGGAGCGCAACGTCGTGTTGACGATGTGGGAATGGGGCGGCGAGACCGGATACGTTCACGACGAGATCGCCACCGACAAGCGCAACCCGCAAGTGAACGCGGGCGGGCCGGTGTACGGCGTGGAGTTCGCCAACGACAAGCTGGTCTGGGTCGACCCCCGCACCAACGCGGCGCGCGCGATACAGATTCCGGTCCGGGACACCCCCGGCGAGGGAGACTTCAGGTCCTACATCGACCGCGAGAACCTGGAACCGTCGCTCTACTGGGGTGACGAACTCATCTGGGACAATCCCGGAAACCCGCACAACCCGATGATGGATGGACAGGGACGCATCTGGATGACGCACCAGATCCGCGGCCCCGGCAACCCGGCGTGGTGCCAGGAAGGGTCGGACAACCGGTTCGCACAGCACTATCCGCTGTCGCGCGCCGCCCGGCACGTCGCCTACTACGACCCGGCGGATGACGACGTGACGCTGATCGACACCTGCTTCAACACCCACCACCTGCAGTTCGGGTACGAGGACAGCGAACGGCTGTATCTGAGTTCCGTCGGTCCCGTCATCGGCTGGCTCGACGTCGATCTGTTCGAGGAGACCGGCGACGCGCAGGCCGCGCAAGGCTGGTGCCCGGTGATCGTCGACACCAACGGCGACGGCCGTATCAGCGACTGGGTCGGCCGCGGCGATGCGCTCGATCCGACCAGGGACAAGGAAATGGGCGCCGGCTGGTATGGCATCGTGCCCGACCCGACCGAGCGCAGCGTCGTCTGGGCGGCGTCCGGCGGGGTGCCGGGTCAGATCGTGCGGCTCGACTGGGCGACAACCCGCCCGAAACCTGCATCGCCGAGTACTATCAGCCGCCGTTCGAGAACGCCGAGGCGCCAATCCAGGGGTATTCCCCCCGCGGCATCGACATCACGACCGACGGCATCGTCTGGACCGCGCTCTCGGGCAGCGGCCACTGGCCAGCTTCGACCGCAGCAAGTGCGACGTACTGAACGGCCCGACCGCCACCGGGCAGCATTGCCCGCAGGGCTGGTCGCTCTACGCCACACCCGGCCCCCAGATGAAAGGGGTCACCAGCCACGGCAGCGCCGACTTCCACTATTACAACTGGGTGGACCAGCACAATACGCTGGGACTCGGCGAGAATGTGCCGATTGCGACCGGCAGCACCTCCGATTCGCTGCTGGCATTCCTCCCCGACACGGAGGATTACGTGATCCTGCGCGTCCCCTATCCGCTGGGCTTCTACTCGCGCGGCATGGACGGGACGTATCGACGACCCGGACGCCGGCTGGAAGGGGCGCGCGGTCTGGGCCGACTACGGCACCAACGCGGTCTGGCACTCGGAAGGCGGCAAGGGCACGCAGGGGAACCTGGTGAAATTCCAGATTCGCCCCGATCCCCTCGCGCACTAGAAGTCTGCCACCCGACCGGCGACATTGCGGAACACGGCCCGAAAGGCAGAGCCCTTCCGGGCCGTGTCGTTGTCCACGGACTGGCGGCATTCGGTCTCACGATGAGCAGCGCGGCTGCAGCGGACCCCACGGCCCACGTCGCGGGCGATCTGGCGCTCGTGCTGGTCGGCGGCGGCGCCCGGGCCGCCTATCAGGTCGGTTTCCTGCACGCCCTCATCAAACAGCACCCCGATCTGCAGTTCCCGATCATCACCGGCACGTCGGCGGGGGCCATCAACGCCGCGTATCTGGCGGCCCAGAGCGGTCCATTGACCGCTGCGATCGACGGGCTGGCCCAGCTCTGGCGCCAGCAGCGTGTGGATCACGTGTTCCGGGTCGACAACCGCTCGCTCGTCAACCATGTCCTGCGCTGGGGCATGAAGCTCGTCTCCGGCGGTGGATCGCTCGCGCCGCAGGTCGAGGGCTTTCTCGACACCGCGCCGTTGCGTCAGTTCCTGCATGACTGTTTCACACCGGCGGACAGCGGCGAGATCCCCGGTATCGCCCGCAACATCGCGGCGTGCCGCCTGCGTGCCCTGGCCATCACCACCACCCGCTACGATTCCGGGCAGTCGGTCATCTGGGTCCAGGGCGCCGATATCGAGGATTGGGAGCGGCCCAACCGCCACGGCCGCAAGGCGCGCATCACGGTCGAGCACATCATGGCCTCGGCCGCGCTGCCGCTGTTCTTCCCTGCCGTCAGACTCGATGACGGGTGGTACGGCGATGGCGGCATCCGCATGACGGCCCCCTGCTCGCCGGCCATCCACCTCGGCGCCAGGCGAATTCTGGCGATCTCCAATCGCCATCGGGGCCGGACCGGGCTGGATGACGCGCCCAGCAGTGATCGGCGCCCATCCCCAACCTGCCCTGATTGCCGGGCAGCTCATCCGCGCGATGCTGCTGGACGATCTCGATCGGGACGAGTGGAACACTGCGGCGCCTCAACCGGCTGGTGCGCCGCCTGCCGCCCGGCCAGCGCGAGGGGCTGCGCCCGGTAGAGCTGGTCGTGATTCGGCCGTCGCGCGATCTGGGCGACCTGACCCGCGAGTTCGAGCCTCGTCTGCCGCGCCTGTTCCGTCACCTGACGCGCAGCCTCGGCTCGCGGGAGATGGCCAGCCAGGACCTGCTGAGCCTGCTGATGTTTCAGGAGGACTACATCGACCGGCTGCTGGCGATCGGCGCAGCGGACGCCGCACGCGACGCCGACCGGGTCGCGGCGCTGCTGGCGGGCACGCACGAACCCTGATTGCCCGTTCCCGGCGGACGATCACCTTCGGGGCATCGCGCTCAGACGGAAGCTGTCGATCGCCTCCGGCAGATCGGTCCGGCCGCCGTGGTCGGCCAGCATCGCGGCGCCCGCTCGACCCCGGACCGCAACGCCGTTCCGGTCGACGCGACAGACGGAAACGTCCGGTAGTTGCCGGCCAGATACACGTTGCGGCAGGTCGTGTCTCGGACGGGCGGGTTGCTGTAGCCGGGCCGGAACACGGGCGAGTACATCGGCAGACGGTTGACCTGCGTCCAGAACGGCTCGAGATCGAAACCGAAGACCCGCCGGCAAATCGGCGCGGTACGCAGCGAGGATCTCCTCGTCGCTCTGCGCGAAGAAGGCATCGCGGCGGCTCGGCAGATGGCTCATGATATTGAGACAGGTGTCCCCCGGCGCCCCGATTGTGGGATTGAGCGCGTTCAACGTGAAGATGCCGCACGCCCGGCAATCGAGGGACGCCAGGTTCATCCAGTAGAACTCGGGCGTGATCCGCTGGCGGGTGGCGAACATCGCCACGCGAACACCACGGACAGAGGTCTATAGCGGAGTGGCTCGAGGCGGTCTGCGCCGCCGCCACGCCCAACAGCCGCTGGTAGACTTCGGCCGGCACCGTGCTGACAACGAGGTCGGCCGTCAGCGCGCGCCGTCGTCGAGCTCCACTGCCGTCACGCGATCGCCGGTCCGGATCAGCCGCGCGGCCGACGTGCCGAGCCGGACGTCGACCGACCGCCGCGTGAGCAGCCGGGTCACACCGTCGCACAGCACCTTCGTCCAGTTGCAGCCCGGGATATACCCGAGCGGCGCCGAGCCCTCGCGAAAATACAGCCGCGCCCCCAGCCAGGCCCCGCTGACCTCGTCGCACGGCAGGTCGAACTTGAGCCGCGTCAGCGGGTCGAAGATGGCGCGCCGCACGCCCGGCCCGCCCCAGGCGTCGATCAGATCGGCGGCGCTCCCCGCGCCGTTTCCACGGTCGCGTCCAGTCGCTATGCGAAACAACGACCCAGATGAAGGAGTATAGTG